AACAATCACAAAATCTTTAAAATTGCACCAATTCATTGAACAAACTTGTTGAAAAAAATACCACCTATACTCTTTAGCAATACGTAAAACTTGCAAAGACCAGAAATTTGAATTTCCTTTTAGTTTAGTGGGAATTTATTTTTTTTAAATGTTCAGTCTTATAAACATAAAAGATATACTATATGGACTTCTATTACCTAAAATGAAAATTGGCTTTAACAAAATCATCACAAATTTATTCAGCTTTCAAATGATCCAAAGCCCTTTAGAAGCATCCAAGTAGTTATGGAGCCTTTAAAAAATGTTGGAAACTTTTGACAAAAGTGTAGTTTTGAGGTATCTTTTCCCACAATAATTTATTTATTTATTTTTTTTTATTTATTTATTTTTTTTAGAATTCTTATCTCTGCGTCAATCTTGCTGCATTCTAAGGCATTCACATGGGACACTGAAGTGTAGCTGGTACATGGTCCCCCTCTTTTGCAAAATACTAATGGTAATAACTGCACGTGTGTAGAAATACTGCATGTCACCACAGGCTTTGCAGTGTCTAACTTGACCACGTAAGGTATCTAAATGTATAAACAACTGCTGCAGCTATGATTAAGAAGTATTTCTGATCATATTACATTTATGAAATACTAAAATAACATCTACAATTAGTAGTGTCCCCTTACTGTGTTATATGGGCCTACGTCTGTGATATGGTGTCGTGGAGGTAGGGGCTGGCAACCTTTCTCTGATTTTCTGGTGGAGTTTTGTCTCCCAGAGCCCCAGTCTTGACGATCAGCTGATGGGTAAACAGAGTTGCCAGATAACTACCAGAGAATGCCAAAATAACCCCCAAAAAAAAAAAAAAAAAAAAAAAAATTGTCGAGAATAATTGCACGGACTCGGAGCGGGAGGTGTGGGGGGGGTGTCAGAGATTTTGTTACAACTCCTTTACTTTTACATACTTAGCAAAAACAATATGTTACGGGATTGCCAAAGCCCACTAGATTACAAGAGATTTTTTCAAATTTTTGAGTATTTTTGAAAATTTTCGTAGTGACGGCCCCCTTAAGCCAGTGCTGTTTCAGCCACTCTTGGGGAGTTGTTCATGTAATTGCACATTCTCGTCACCTTGGCCCCTCAGGCAAACTTTTCCATGACTGCACCCAACCCTTAGTCAGATTTTTTCATGTGACATGACCTCGATTCAGTGGGATAGAGAGAATGAAATCGGTACCCATTTTGTTTGAATATTTAACCCTTTGGATTCAGATGACATGACTGTCACATTATGAAAAAATTTGGCTGAGCTATGGCTAAAGGGTGCTGGCTCCAGGGAGGACACTATTTCCATGCAAAGGATCCTGCTCCTATTCACCAAGACTGGTGTTGCAGGGTGTTACAAAAAATTGAGTATTACAAAAAATATTTAAAGATATACTTGAATAACACTATATTACTTATTGCTGTTATTGCACAGAGATGTACTACTTAGAGATATGTAGTCAGTGCAAACAACAGTTTATTACCATCTTCATGTAGCATATTGAATGATAGATATAGACCTCAGAAAATGGCACGAGAGAAACCAAACATTGTGTAGGTAATGACAATAAGATTGCAACTGGGAGGCAAGGAGTCTTGATACCAGAAATGAATGTTTGTGTGGACAGGGCCTACAAGACTCACATCTTGAAGAGTCCCCACTCAAGAAAGCCTAATGCCTGGGCCAGAACTGCTGTGGTGGTAGGAATTGTGGAAACAGAACCTAAAGTGAGGGTGCTTGATCTCTAAGTTGTGTGTGAAAATCTGTTTTCAATCATAATGTATAAGGATTATATGGCAATAACCTGTTCCTTTCATTTCAGTCGAGATCACTACCACAGAAGTCGGTCTCGCTCCCGCGACAGAGATAGAAGGCATCGGTATTAAACATTAGGCAGTCTACCTAGAAGGACTCAGAGGGTAGAGACAATAAGATATGTTTTTGCTATAAGGGACTCCATAAGTAGCTCATGTTGGAAAGTAGTAATTGTTGAGCAGAAATAAGGGAAGTTATGTATCAGAAATTTATTTCATGATTTGATATTATTAATATTTGTTCTTTCTTCTCTTTTTATACTCTCTTTAGAGCATTAATGATATTGTAGCCAGCTTTTCTTATCTTTTCTTCTTTTTTAAAGAAAGTTTTACATGTTTTGGGACATGTACTGCTGTGTATATGTATATGTATATATATATATTTCATTTTTATCCAGAAACCAAGTAGATTTCTAGGAGATATTTTGAATAGTCTGCATTTCTATATGTACAAATTATTTTCAAACTAGTGGAATATTAGTGATGTAAATGAAGATTTTCAATTGTAAAAATGTATTTCAGTTTCATCCTTGATGATGAGGATCTTTAACATTTTTTGCTATGATTTTGAGACTAAAGCAGTGGATTTTTGTTTAGAAGTAAAGTGTTGAATTTGGGATACAGGATGATAGTGATTGAGAAGGCTAGGCTCATGCACATAAATTTAGAATGAACTCCTCTTGTATAATGGGTTTACTTGTCATATTTTTATCACCAGCATATGTTATTAGAGCAGTGGTTGTTATGAGGAAAGGTTGTGAATCTTGGCCACTGGATAAGTATGATCCTGAGCTTTAATACTGATAATGAACACTTCATTTTTGTGAGTGAGTGAGTGAGTGAGTGAGTGAGTGAGTGAGTGAGTGAGTGAGTGAGTGAGTGAGTGAGTGAGTGAGTGAGTGAGTGTGAGTGAGTGAGTGAGTGAGTGAGTGAGTGAGTGAGTGAGTGAGTGAGTGAGTGAGTGAGTGAGTGAGTGAGTGAGTGAGTGAGTGAGTGAGTGAGTGAGTGAGTGAGTGAGTGAGTGAGTGAGTGAGTGAGTGAGTGAGTGAGTGAGTGAGTGAGTGAGTGAGTGAGAGCAGTATTGCAAGTTAGATTGATTGGTAGAGAAAAAAAAATGGTCATTGCCAATTTGTGTAGAACATGAGATCAGTTAATTGGAGTGACCCATTCATATATATACCTTAGATTCCTTAACAACATAAATTCCTCCAGCACCTCAAGGAGTAGCATTGCACTTGGACAGTTACTGTGTATATAGT